TAAATATCCCTGTTGAGGCCCCAACCTTGTCATCCAGTCTCTGGCCTAAACATCCTCTCCTGCTTGTTTGTAGTCACCGCAGAGGCCAGTGTCCCAAGAAGCTGATTCAAACTCTGCCCGCAGCACCCATGTGGCCTGTGAGTGGCTAATTTGAAGCCTGTGATAAGGAGGGGAGGAGGGGGCCGGGATGGGGTGTGCGTGTAGGATTTCATTGTCCTAAGAGATGAATGAGGACAAGAGCAGGTGACCCAGGAGGAGGGGGAACAGGCAGGGGTCAGGGGCCCACCGCCAGCCCCTAAATCCCTAGAAGGCATCAGTCTATTGATTCCAGTGCCTACTCTGAGGGGGTCTCATGCCTGCAGGTTCCAGATACAGCCCTGCCCTCTCAGCTCATTCACAGGGTCACTAACCGCCCCTACCACCACCACCTAGGACTGGCCAGAACCCCCCAGCACCCCCTCCTAGCTCAATCTGGAGTGAGGCCCACTAAGATGGAAGCCGAATCCATTTGCACACTGCCTGCACTGACTATGGACCAGGGCAGCGGCCACTGATCCAGCTGAAATCAGACACTGATGCTGCCTGCTGATTTGTAAACGGGCTCTTCTGCATCAGGACCTCAGAAAACAGCAGGGCAGAGTTTGGGGGAAGGCAGCAGCATGAGACACCACCAGATGAATATTCTAACCTATCCAGGTTGCAGTTGAAAACCCTTTCAAAGTTCCAAGTCCCCAGCATCACCAGAGAGAGTTCACTGGCTTTGTGGGGAAGGTTTTGGGAATTCCATCCAATGCCACAGCACAGATTGAGAATCAGAATAAAAAATACATACACATTAGCACCCCTTCTCCTTCCATTTCTGATCTTGGTGGCCACACCCCCTTGTTCTCTCGCCACTTTTTTGCCACCACTGGCAGAACACAGGAACCATCTTGTACTTGAAGGGGAGGAGAGAGGACGGGGCCCCAAGGACATTTCCTGAAGCCTCTTCCACAAATGGTGCCTGCATGGATGTCTGCGGCCTCCTCCCATCACTAATATTCCCTTCAGAGGTGGAGACAGAAGGTCACTTATTTAGTAATCTCTGTGGGAAACCGGTGTCACTTCAATCATTTCATGATGATTAGGAGATGAACAGCCTCATTTGCCAAAGCCAAGAGCGCCTCTGGGACAACAGTCACCAGTGGCTTGTGGGAGGAGCAAGTGGCCGGGTACTGCTCAGGACAGGCTCTGTGTGCTGCTGGGGACAGGCTGTAGGAACTGCTGGGCTCCCAGCGGAGAGTCTCTGGGTGCTGCTGGGCTCACACAGAGCATAGTGAATCATACATGTCCAGAGGAGACGCTTGGGGTATGACACTCACTTCTCTCTGTTCTAGTCTTTGCGCTCAAACAAGAAGATGCACAAGCCCCAACAAGGCAGAGTCAGAGCCCAGTGGCTTCCAAAGGGGCTTAGGTATGTGTCAGAGGCAGACGCTAAAGAACTTCAGAGGAAAAAATAATAACCCTCCCCCCGCCCTGGGGACTGCTGTTTTGTAACTTGAGCTACAATGGGACATCTTTCTGAAATAAATATGTCATCTGGGTTCCTAGACTTGGTTCTCATGTAGACAGAGGGAGGGAAGAGGATGCAGAAGAGAACAGATGATGGTTGGATCCAGGACTAACCCACAGATCCTTCGAGTAAATGAGAAAGAGAATATCCACATCTTCTCTCAGCACTCTGCTGAACCTGGAGGGACTAGAGGTGGGGGCACGAGGGGGACACAGAACACCGGATGCACACCCTTTCATAGGAGACCACAGGGCGTGTGCAGCCCTTCTCTGCTCTCCACAGCTACCCAGGACCTCATCAGCAGGCACCAACCACCTCACGTCTCCATGGCAGAACTTTGGTCTCCAAAAACCTAAGACACACGTTGGTGCTGTCCAGGAGCTCTGGGCTCAGACAGACTCATGGAGAGGGAAGGGCTGGATGGGAGTCTAGGGGGCAGGTGAGGAGTCAGAGGTGAGAGGTCAGAGCATCTCACCAGTAATGCAGTGAGGATTGCACAGCAATGAGTCGGGATAGTAGAGTTGGAAAGGACTGTGCCTGGCACAGTGGGGACAGGTGGTCTGGACAGCATGGCCGCTGGTGTCCTCTGAGGGCATGTGTGGAACCAGTCTCCAGAGTGGTCCAGGACGAAAGGGGGAGTGCTCCTGTGGAGGCGCCTGATACGTGCACAGCCTGTCCAGGGATGAGCCCACACAACTGGGCCAAGGCTCAGCCGCCAACCTGAGTTCCCAGGAATCAGGATGAGAAGTAAGCTACTCTGCAGCAGTGAAAGGCGGTGCCACGTCTCCTGGGTTTGCACCCACATCTGCCACTGATCCCGATTCCTGCCAACATGAACCTAACACAGAGTAGGGTCAGTAGAGTTCTGATCTGGATGCATCTGTTTCTACGCTCCAGGGTCTAGAACCTTTCATTCCTACAACGCTTCCTTCCGCACAAAGAAAGCCCATGCCAAAGCCTTCCAGGGCGGGGTGGGGTTTCGGTAAAGGAACGCGTCCTCCTAACCTGAATGAGCCGCAGAGGGGTTGCCGGGGTTCTCTCTGCAAATGAAAACTTGTGATGCAGAACCACTCAAAAAAACCCTTGTGACCTCCTCCGCCACAGCCTTCCTAGTTCTCTTAGCTAACGCATCCAAGTGAGTGAAAATATACACAGATATATCTCAGGATGGCACTCATGCTTCCTCAACTACCAATCTGTCCCCAGGCACTGATGTGAATTGAGATGCGAGACCCTGGGTCCTTAGACACAGCTCATGACTCCTCCAACCTCCGTCCACTGAAGACCCTTCTTCACAGGACACTGGCAGATTGCTGACACAGAAAGGACCAAAGACCACCACTTGCATGTAGAAAAGTGTTAAAATCAGCAATTTAGATGTGCTTCTTTCAGGCAACTGAATTGTAGGAAATGATGATAACGGTGAAACTTAATGAAGAAAATGTATTGGGCAGAGATATATGGGGCTAAAGCTCTCACATTGCACATTCAGGAAAGAGAGATCTTTGTATGCAATATAAAAAAGTGTTTTAAAAAGTCCAAATTACATTTTACAGGTGACCATAAAATACAAGAAGGCATTCGATATCTGTAAAACCCATAAATAAAATGCAAAAAGAGATTTGAACTATGCTATGTAACCTAGTCAATATGTTTTTGTTTTTTGCTTTTTTGGATCACACTCAGCATTGCACAAGGATTACTCCTGGTTCATGCACTCAGGAATTACTCCTGGCCATGCTCGAGGGACCATATGGGATGATGGGAATTGAACCCAGGTTGGGCCGCGTGCAAGGCAAATGCCCTACCCGCTGTGCTATCACTCCAGCCCCAACCTAGTCAATATATCGACTTTATAGTAATTAATATTTAAATATTAACTAAATAAACAAATAATTTTATTTATAGTTAGAAAGTGTTTTCATTCACAAATTGATGAGTAAACTTTGTACTCTCTATTGTTAATATTGTCATTAGCATTGATGCAATTTTACTTATACAAGTAGTAAAATGTCTTTGGCCTATTATCACATTTCTACAGTCTTCTATATATTCCACAAATTTCTAATTATTGCCAATTTAAAACCAAAGAATGGAGACATTTTTGCATTGATGTATATATATATATGTATATGTATACACCCCCCCACACACACACAACACTTAAATATGTTCATTAGTTCAGCCAAGAAATTCATTACTTTTACAGAGATATAAATCTTTCTTTGCAACATTTAAAAAGTAAATATATTGGAGCTAGAGAGAAATACAGAAGGTCTGGGACTTGCCTTGCACATATCAACCCTGGTTCTATCCCTGGCATTTGTGATCCCCAAAGAGCCGCCAGGAGTAATTCCTGAGTGCAGAGCCAGGAGTAACCCCTGAGCATCACTGGGTTTGGCCCAAAAACAAACCACAAAAAGTGAATATAGCGATACAGAAAACGTTTTATTTTAAATGTTGACAAATTAAAAACATAACTTAAGTCATCCAGGTAATATTTTTCTTTCTTTGTGGTAAAAAAAAATGATAGCTACAGGAGATAACCAAGGGCAAACAGGAAGTCATCTGACTGTATAAACAGGCAGTAGTGTGGCTGTATAAACAGGAAGTCGTCTGACTGTATAAACTGGAACTAGCATGGTTATATATAAATAGAGAATAGTGTGGTTGTATAAACAGGTGTACACGCCGCTGCCGTGGACCCTGCTGCCCACCTGCCCACTCACCGCCCAGCTGCTGCTCTGTGATGGGGTCCTGCTCTGCTAGCTGCTCAACCACCTCTGGGCGTACTCCATTGACCTCAAGGAGATCAACCTGAGACTGCAAATGTCCCAGGTGCTTGTCTCACTAGTGTGGCTGTATAAACAGGAAGTTGTCTGACTGTATAAACAGGAACTAGCATGGTTGTATAAGCAGGATGTAGTGTCATTGTAAACACAGAGAATAGTGTGGTTGCCAAACAGGCACTCGTGTGTCTGTGTACCGGGAAACTGTCTCACAGCCAAGGGAGAACAGTGCCCTTCAGCGTGCTCCCAGGACTCCACCTCCTATTTCTTCTAACTCAATACCTCCCCACGTATGTGGCCCTGCTGTTGCTCTTCAACCCAACTCACACAATTGTCTTTGTTTTTATCCCTTAGCTACAGTTGTTGGAGGAAAAAAATGGTGATTGTCCCGTTACTTACATTACCTTGACCACACAGCTATACAGATCCCGAACAGTTTGGTAGATAGAAATAAATCCATTGAAGTTACATTTTTAAGCATTGGAAAGCTGTGCACAGACCTGCAAGTGCATATATATATATATATATATATATATATATATATATATATAAAGTTTCCCTTCTGCTACTTAAATTCAAATACTGATTCCAAATAGTTTTCAGAGCCTGAAAAATCCAATAGAGTGGCTTCATCTATGAAGCGAAGTGGTGAGACTTACCTCACTTTCAGGTTGCCCTGCTGCAGTTGTCCGTCATACACGGATAAAATATCGAAGTCTTCCTCCAGGGCGAAGGTGTGGAAGGAGAGCTGTATCCGGTTCCGCTCTCCCGTGAGGATGATCCACGTGCAGTTGGCGTAGTTGGGGTAGCCGTGGGGGAAGCCGGGACTCTCGATGGTGCCGTTGGGGCCCTGCACCAGGCCTCCGCAGTTCTGTCCTGAGAGGGAAGACACACACAGCTTGGAACATGGCCCATTGCAAATCTGTGTCGTTAAGAACAATTTCTCTCTCTTTTTAAAAATACATTCATTTTTATTCATTTAATACTATGTTGGTGAGATCCACCCATATCCTCACATAATAGTGACTTGTTCTTTTTTTTTTTTTCTTTTTTGGGTCACACCCGGTGATGCGCATCCTGACTCGTGCACTCAGGAATTACTTGGGGACCATATGGGATGCTGGGAATTGAATCCGGGTTGGCCATGTGCAAGGCAAACACCCTACCCTTTGTGCTATCACTCCATCCCCATTAAGGACAATTTCAACTATTCAAAATTCTGTGTTGTCTTGAGGGGAAAAATAAAAAAAAATAGGATGACTTATTTGGTATTTCTTCATACCCAAAAGTTGAGCCATCGAAGACAATAACATTGGTCACTGCTGAGAGACAGTGAGAATAACAGACATAAGAGTTGGAGAGAGAGAGAAAGAGAGAGAAAGAGAAGGGAGGAAGGTGTAGAAGTAGAGAGAAAACTGAAAGAATATAATAATACCAAACAACATTGGGAACTCGGAACTCTTATTACTACTTAAATTTCTGTCATTTTCAAATACAGGTTCAAGGGTATCGGACTATCATACAAACAAGTTTGGTGCCCACATCCGTGTTGCATCATGCTGAAAATACTGTCCCCGATCCTTCATTGGAGGAAACTGCACCGACAGACAAGACAACTGTCACAAAACTATGAGCTCACATGTTAATAAACCCAGGCTGCCAGCAACCAGGACAGTGTAAACCGTTCCAGCACATTTCCTCACTGTCCACAGGATCAATCTTCCTCACAGTGGCTTAAATCTTACAATGCCAGGGAACAGAGCAAGCCCACAGGAACTGTAGCCAGTGGGGAATGAAAGGTGGAAAACCAGAGAAATTAAGGCATCCTAAAATTAAGGGAATGACCAGCAAAATAAACAATAGACCAACTGATGTCTAATCAACTCACGGTCCAGCCTAGATGAGGAGGGCCACAAAACAACCCCAAAGGGTGGGTCAGAGTACACAGGAAAGTGGACACGGAAGCATAGGGAAGAGTGGGAGCTCTGGGCACCAAGCTGGCCTTGTTCCTGGTGAGGACCCAGGGACCCTACCTGCTATTGTCCACAGTACTACCCGCCACTGTCCATAGCGCTACCTGGGGAGTCCACAAGGTCATGGCCTCTGGGTCCCTACCTGCTGCCTGCCCCTTTGTCCACTTTCAAAGTGGTCACTCTGGAACCAGCCCACGGGCCTTCGTGTGGGTGGACCTGTCCCACATCTCTGTTCTTCTCCCATGCAGCACCTCTGTCACGGCCACGTGTGAGTAGCCAGGCCAGTGGGATGTGGGGCAGCGATAAGCCAGGGCAGACGGTCGCATTGCCATGTCACCATACACTTCAGCACTTTCACGAGAAGGTGACCACCATACCATACCAGGGAGCAAACATGCATTCCAACAACTCAGCACTTGGAGCTCGATGTTCTGCGGCCCCGGGACCCTTACAGGCTCCACGCTCATGCCCCACCAACAGGAAAAATGTACTCATGTGTCCTCACACTTGAAAAGTCAGAGAGTTCTGGAAAAAACAAGACCAACTCAGAGGACAACATGCAGTGTTGTTCTTGAATACAAGTATTAGGAGCCGAAGAGATAGAACAGCAGAGAAAGTGTTTGTCTTGTATGCGGCTGCGGAGGTTTGATCCCCAGCATCCCACATGGTTCTCCGAGCACAACCAAGAGTAATTCCTGAGTGCAGAGTCAGGAGTGACCCCAGAGCATCACCAGGTGCAGTCCCCAAAGGAAAACAAACAAGTATTATTCCAGTTTTTATTGTGGAACTGCAAATAGAAAATTATTTCCAGCTCTATTTTATGCTTTAAAATATTAAATATCTCACAATTGAGAGCTCGGTGAGCTCAAATCTTTCAGAGTAATATTATCAAAAGCTTGTGGAAGTTGTCTAAATTTTCGTAAAAAAATTCAATGAAACGGATTTATGAATTTAAAACCAATGAACTAATAAGAAGCCCATTTTCCACTAAATTTAAATCTAACAATAACCCAGTAACAAGCCGATATTAAAGAGTGAGGTTTTGAAAGGTCTTTAAAGAAAATAGCTTTTCTGGTTTATCTAGAAATTCTTGCTTCACAGTTAATTGAAAAGTGAAGATTTGATTATAAATTGGAGGAAAGAAAAATAAATTTGACAGAAAAGGTGTCAGCTGGAAAGTGGTCAGTGTTCTAGCTCTAGTGGTGACGCGTATCCAGGAGAGAGAGTCTCTGAGGACTCCCATGGACGCATCTGGGTATGATTAGCGCCAAGCACTTTGCAGGCTGGTCATAATTGAGCAGTCGACAAGCTTTTCCACTGTCCCTGTGTGAAACTTTGGAAACCGCTAAAAGTTCTGCTGTAAGTGACTCTCAAGCCTGGCCACTTACTGCAATCAAGTAAGGAGGTTTTTAAAGACAGATATTGATATTCTTGGTCTGGGTCAAGAATATCTGAGAGAATCGTGAAGAAGAACAAAAGAAGAGATTTGATACTACTTAATATCACATCTTCTCTGAAAGCTGCAGTAATTGAGACCTGCACGGTGGGTCTGGATCTAGGTAGAGAGCCCCCCTCAGAAAAAGTGTAAGAAGTCCCCCACCACCTGCACAATGATGAGAACAGACTGAAGCGGCGCTGACTGCAGAGGGCTGGGGAAGGAACGAGTTTTACAAGAGATGGTCCGAGGTCAAATATTTCTCCAAGAGGGCAAAGTGAATAATAGACTCTGCCCCCCAGCCCACAATATACAAATCCCAAGACAAATAGATGCATGGCACGAGTCAGAGCTATGTGCCCAGAGGCCTCAATAGGACACGGAAGCATAAAACAGTTCGAGGAGAGAATAAAAGGGAGATCAGAAAGAAGGTCAAACTGTAACACGTACATTTGGCAGAGAAATGACAGTGGGGGCAACAGAGAGAAATCCTACACAAACACATCAGCACAGAAGGCCCCAGGCTCTACTCAGTGGGTGCTGATGCGGAATCAGGGATTTCCTCAAGCTGGAAGGTGACAGGTGGATCCCTATGTGGGAACCTGTCGGGTACCCCCAGACCTTCCGTGGAGGTGGAAACTTGAATTGATAAACACCTGATGTCTTTCGGACTATCTGGAGAAGCAACAGCCCCTGAAATGGAGGAAGCTGAGTAGACCTTCAGCTTAGCCAGGATTGCTGGCCGTCAACACCTTCTTCGCTCCTCATGGTACAGAAATACAGGCCATGTGAAGATGATTACTTGTCTAAGCAATACCACTCATCAGTATCACCTCAGAGTAAACAGGACTCATTCAAACCCTATTACAGCATTCGCTGGAATGTGTCCTTAGCAATCATTACTTCCAAGCTATTTATTTCAGTATCCTGAAAATCTATATAAGGTCCTGGTGTCTTAAGACACAGAAATCATACTAACACCACTTCAGAGTAGCTTTCAAACTGGTAATACCTGGTCTGTACTAGAATTAGTACAAATTACTTATCATTCACTTTCTTCATTGGTGTCAGAATTAAATTCAGGTGGATGGATATCTGACATAAAGATGGACTCAATTAAAAAGAACTTTTGGGGAATGAAACATGGTGTCTGAGGGGTGTCTGGAGGCAGCATTTTCCAAGTACACACATGTTCACGTTGAGATGAAGTTGGGGTTCATCCACAGTATCACCAGCAGCACATGCCAGAGTTGGAGCTGCCTCTCAAATGTCCCCAACAAAGTTCCCGTGGTTTTCTCTTGGGTTTGGAGGATAAAGAGCACAAGCCTGCCACAGAGAAGAGTTCCAGAAATGGTTCTGTAGCTGAGACTTAGATCCTTGCTTGATTGAAACACTGACCTTCAGCACAGCTTCCAATAAGCAGATCATTTTAGTGGTAAGCAACTTTAATGGACAAGTTTTAAACACTGGGAACATTAGCATACATTAGCAAATTGCACACAGGAATCTGTGGTTGGCTCATTTACATATTATATTTCCCAAGGGACTGATGTAATCCACAGTGCTCCATTGATAATTTTAATCTCTTAGTGAAACTTGGTTTATTCTTTTTCCCCCACAGGATTGAAAACTCAATGATTACCGAGCAAAATACTTAGTGATCTTTTATCTTTGAGTACTGATCCTGGACAATTGCTTAAAACCTAGCACCTATGTCAACAGGAGGAAAAGGAAGCTTATGGGTGAATACACATATAAATTGTGTATACCCACAAAAAGACATCGTGTTAAACATACAAAGAACTGTGGGCAAGGGGAATCTCATCTGCAACAGCCCTAGAGATGCACCATCCACATGCTGGTGTCCTCAGGAACTGTCCACAGCAGTGAGCTGCCAAAAGAGGTAATTACTGATTGTGGTCATCAGCTATAGTGCAAAGTGTGGGTGTGAAAAATAAGTGTCGAGGTAGTCTAGCAATTAAGTGGACTTTATGATACATCGAGTTCTTTTCTGAAATGGTCTGTAGGGTGCTCAAAGGGCTCTTCTGTGGAACGGATGGGTACGGAGCATGGGAAAAGTGAGCGGAGTTAACAAAAGCTGTGAAGGTCGTGCTGAATGTCCTCAGCAAAGACATGAGCACTGGCAGCTGACTGTCCACCTTTTTCCACAACACTGGGCTGATGTCATGACTCTGGGGATCAACCCCACTACCTGCTGACCACGCAGAGGGCTGGAAGAATCTGCCTGTACTGGGGTCTAGGGCCCAGGACACTAGAAAGGCATGCATGGCCCCCTCTAACTCCCACTTCCAAAGTCGGTCTGAACAAATGTTTAGCTGAGAAGCTGGAGACATGTCCTGGTCACTCAGAGCTGAAACAACTCTGCCCCCATGGGTGCCAGGCTGAGGTCGGCCTGGTCACTCGGAGCTGAAACAATTCTACCCCCATGGATACCATGTTGAGGTCAG